CATTTGTTAATCAGATCGTCGGGAATCTAGAAGAGCGGCAGGTATGGCACCCTGAAAGGACCGCTCTGCCATTTCATTTTAAACAAACTCTTTATAGGGTTAGTGGTGGGAAAAATTCTAAAGTCAGTGAGTTCCCAGGGCCCGCCTTCTTTCATTGGCCTTGCAAATATTAGCCCAGAACGGTCTCTCTTCAGATAGGTCCTGTCCGTCTGGGATCCGGGCTGAACACGTCCTTCAGTTTCCCAGAATCTGTAAGAAAATCTCTCTGTGATGTCAAACAGCTTAACTCGTTCCTGGAACCAGAAAATAGTCAGCATTTACAGAAACAATGTCAAATGAGCGGTGGGGTGGGTCACAATTCCCACCGTTACGTAACCTGCTTTATGCACTTCCCGTGCTGTCAGAGTTCAAACAAGAAGTGAACTCTTCCTTCCCTTGCACGTCTGCAGAGGCTGTATCTTTTGAACTCGAACTATTGTTCTCAATGCAGCACAAAGGAAATCTCCACATTTTAAAACCCATTTAACTGTGCAGTTGAGAAGCTCCCACCTAACCATCAATTGGAAGCGATTAATCCTGTTATTAAGCCAATCCAGTGAATTTTCAAAATTCCAGGTCTTGAATTTTTGATTCCAAAAATTGCCCATTTGGTTCTTTTAAAAAATATTTTCCTTTTTCCCACCTCTCCGTTCACAAAAAGCCTATTTTCCGTGACCTCATTGGGTGTAGTTGCAATCGGTGTACTTGCAATAGCTTCTTTAAAATCCTTGTCTGGTAATTCTAACTGGCTGACTGGTCTTGGCATTGACCCCAGTCATTTTTCTTTGAAGATGGATCACGATCTCCTGGCTTTTTCTATGCTGAGTATCTTTGGATTTTCTTGTGAACACTGTGACTGTTATGCTGTATAGACACTGAATTGTTGTATTCCTGCAAAGACTATTCCTGCTTTTGTCTTAGTGGGTCATGAACTTGGTTAGACTTTAACTGCGACTTCTGCTACTCCCGAGGTGCGCAGAGGTTCGTCTTGGCCCGTTTTTCATCTTTGGCGAAGCCGTTTCCGATCTGCCTGCACACACGTGATTCAGGGCTCCGCAAGGGGCTCGGGTGGAGTCCGAGCACTCACACCACCGTGGCCACACCTCTGGCTGTCTTCAGGGCAAAGCCACGCCGCACACGGAGGACCACTGCATGCTGGCTTCTTTCCGCAAATATCAGTTCCCCTCAGATCTGACTTTTGTTCATTCCCCAGGGCGCTTGGGGAACTGGTTTTTCACATTTTGTCCGGAACTTCTCAGTTGTTTTCTGTGGACAGGACTTTAAGGGACTTACTCCTCTATTGACTTCCATAAGCTGATTCTTGTATCGGGCAGCCTTGCTGAATTTTGTGCAGGCACACCTTGGAGATACTGCGGGTTCAGTTCTAAAGGGAGTCATAATCTTTTTGCTGGTGAAGGTTCTTGCCTTCAATTTGTAACCCCTCACCCCCCAAAATGCAGCGTCTGTGAAGCAAAATAAAATGAGGCATGCCTGTTTAATTAGCGTTTGGTTTAGCCGCATATGTAGAAAACCCAGCCCATGGAGAAGGCGATTGATGGGGCAGCTATATGTACTCAGTTCAGCAAACAGAAGCTCTGCAGGTCTGTAGCTCAGAGAAATTCCACACAGGGAATTCCTGTTCCCAAAACCACCGGAGGGGCTGGAGGGGAAGTGAAGGGCCGGCTTCGGCGTCAAGGTCACAACACGAAGGCTGTGCTCTAAAGTCAGGAATCTGTGAGCAGGCTCTGGAGTCCAGCCAGCACAGAGGTGCACCTTGTCCCCAACCAGCGGCCAGCGGCCACAGCATCAGGAAGGCGCCCTACTCCTCGAGTCTGGGAGACAGCTAGTCCAGGCGGGTGGGCTCTCACTGGCTCCACCGCTGTGGAGGGCAGTGCTGTGTGCTCACTGGAGCGAGCCGGGCTGTATTGGTCTCCCCCAACCCCTGGACTGCAGTCCCCCACCCGACCACTCCACCCCATGGTGATGTCCACTCAATACTACCATGAGCTCAGAACTCACTCAAAGAAGCCACACGGTGACTGATACTCTGGGAGTCACATCGTGGCAGAGAGGCCACCACCTAGAATGACTTGGTGGGGTGGCCTGTGGAGACCCTGCCAGGGTTCCACTGGGAGATCACACCCTGGCTGTGCTGTGTGGTTTTGGCCATTCACTGAGCCTCAGTTTCTCCACCTGAGCAATAGGAGAGTAAGAGCCCATGAGGCAAGGCCTTGGCTCCTGACACATGCCTGTTACAAGACAGACAGCCTGGAGTTTCCACCCACGCCCACCAAGGGAAGGGCTGAGACAGCTCTCCACCTGGCACCCCTCCTCCCTAGGCGGCCCCTCTGCAGGGTCCCCACCCACACATTCCTAAAGCATGAGCAGTGTAGCTCTCAGCTGCACCAGTAATGCCTCATTCTACCCTGACTGACCCAAGAGACTGCTGGCCTCTTGACCACCCACTTACCAGTTGAAGAGACCATAGCAGAGGAGGCTCAGGTTTGGTCCATCACCGTGGGAACATCAGAGTCACCAGGGCAGGGCCTACCCGGACCCTGGGGAGGGGCCTGGGGGCACCAGGGTTTTTTCCAGGGGTCTCCCAGTATTCAGGCTCAGGAGGGGCTGGCCACAGCCTCACCCATGGGGGCCGGGGATGGATAGCAGCTCCATCAGGGTTTGGGTAATGTGCGTGGGCATGCCTGGGGAGGTGAAGGCCGGGAAACCTTCATTAGCACCTCCTGGAACTTCCAGCCAAGCAGCTCTGAGTGGGAGCAGGGATTAGGTTGAGGCTGGTACTGGGACCCACCAGGAGGGGGCCCTGACCAGTCCCAAACCAGCAGGCTCGGGGGAGGTGGGGCAGCCACTGCCTCTGCCACCTTGGATGCCTCCTCCCCAGTCCTCACTGCACTTGGGGAGCAGCGAGGACCCCACACCACCGCTTATGCTCCACTTAGAGGGTGGTGCCCTGGGGGTCAGCTCTGTCATAGTGCCAGCTGCTCCTGATATGCCGTGTGACCCTGGGCTGGCTGCACAGCATCTCTATATCTGAGACCTGTCCTAAGCCCATAATCTGCTCCCCTACCCACCCTCTCCAGACAGGCCTGACCAGTGGTGGCAGGGAATGTGGTCTGACTTCGTATTCCATCACTTATGGGCCAGATCTTGGGGACTGAGGTTTGGCTGAGGTGGGAGATTCTGCAGGTGGGTGGGACAGGTGGGGCGGGAGAGAGCTTCTGCCAGTGTCCTGCAGCCAAGCACCTGCTAGAGGCTGTGAGCTCATGACTCTCAGGATGGCCATTCCTCTATCACAGTCACCTCCGCCTCACACTCTACTCTGAAGAGCCTGTGGTCCACTCAGCCCTCAGATGGCTGTTGCTCTGGTAGCAGGGGCAGGGGCAGGGGCAGGAAGGCAAGGGCAGGGCCAGCCCTCTTTGTGACCAGGCCCCTCACCCAGGGTCCTGGACAGGGCCTGAATCTTTCCTGCTCCAGCCTGTGCCAATGTCCGAGCAGGGCTCAGCATGCAGTAGGAACTAAGCGAGTGTGTAGGTGGCTCATGAGTAGCAGGTGACCAGGTGGATGCTGGTCTTAGGGGACTCAGGTCAGAGATGGGACCATGCTCCGTTCTACCCTGTCCTGCCCCCAGTGGGACCCACTAAACTGTCTGGGAATGTTTCCATGTCACACATAGATACCCATGCTCTGGACTGGCTGAAACACCATGACTCCTGCTTGTGGCATTCTGGCCAGTTTGGAAGATGCAGCCTTAAGACAGCTGCAGTGTCTCTGTGGCCCCAATCTGACCTCGGGTGGAGAAGGAAGGATGCTGATTCCAGGGCCTTGGTGGCTGGCAGTAGCTCCCAGGGGACCCCACCTGGGGTGCTGGGGACCCCTGGTTACATGGGGCTGGGTGGGTTCTGAGGGGAGAAGCAGGGGGAGGTACAGCTCTTGTCTGGTCCCACCCACTGCCCATTTTCTGGTCTGGGGTCTAGTTTTCTCCCACCTCCTTTGGGGCTTGCTTGGGGAAGGGAGAGGGATTCTCTGGGGCCTTGCCACTCCCCAGGACACTCCCTGCAGGTTGGCTCTTTGCATAGCTGAAGGGGTTGCTGAAGCATGAATGTGCTCCCCCGTTTCTGAGCCAGGGGTGGGGCTGACACAGGCCTGGGCTAAGGTTTGGGGGAGGGGATGGCCACAGGAAGCCTCCAGCTCTGGTCCTCCCTGGGAGGGGTGAGTATAGAAGGTCACTTGGTCTCCTTCAGGCTCCACCCTACCTTGGGACAACCCTCCTCACCCACCTCCCCACTCTAGAAAGTGCAAGGGGATCTCCCATCCCCCACAGGGCTGCCTACCCACTCACCGCCCCACCCAAGGGGCTGGAAGGTGGGAGGCGGCATCGCCCTTTGGCACCCACCCAGGCCTCTGTTTTGAGAGGGACTTCAGAGAGAAACCAGCCTTGTCCACATGTCAGGGCCCTGGGTTTGCACAAAGCACAGCACCTGTGGCTGTGGGTGTGGCAGGGTGTGGAGGGGGTGGATGGCCATGCCCCAGGTTGAGGGGGGTACTCAGCAGGGCCCCCAGTCCTGAACTGCTTAGTCCCTCTGGTGCGAATGGGGAAACTGAGGCCAGCCTGAGCCAGAGGCAGCCCTGCCTTCTTCCGCCTGCCCGGCCCTGCAGGGAGAGAGGATAGGGCCCGCTGTCTGCCTGTCCCCAGCTCTCTTACAGCTGAGGGCAGGACTGACTCAGACCCACACCCCCTGGCAGGAGGGGCCAGTTTCCCAGAGGGGGCGGGCTGGGCGGGGTGCTTGGTCCCTAGAGCGGGGCTGGAGGCAGCACAGACACTGCTCTGGGGGCCTGAGAAGGTTTGACCTGGAGCCCCAGGGGCTCCCAGACCCCTTCACTGGCTGTGGGCAGGTTCATGGGTGGGAGAGCAGTGGGAACATCAGAGTGGCTGTCCTCCACAGACCATGGCCTTGCAGAGTGCTCGACCCACGCTGAGGTTCTTCGAGGCCCCCACCCATGGCAGCCTCCTGCTCCTGCTTCTCAGCCTCCGTGAGTGATGGGGCTGGGCTGCTGCAAAGGGCTGGAGCGCGAGAGCCCTGCGGGCAGCCGGGCATTCTTAGGGGTCGGACCTTAGGAAGGGCTCTACCTGTCGCACCCCCAACCCCCGCCCGAGTCTCTGAGTCTCCGGACAGTGGCCCCTGTCCTCGGCAGGTGCCTCAAGTCCCTGAGTTCAGGCAGTCCTGAGTCTTAGCAGGTTCCTGAGTCCCACAGGCTGTCAGCCTTGTCTCTTCCTGCCGTGCCCCATAGGGCCGGAGGCAGAGCCAGGGCAGTGATGTGATGAGGAGGGTGTTGTGGGGATAGGTGCCTGTCTGCCCTGGGCAGTGGGTCCCAGGAAGGGGATGTGGGAGCCTGGGCTCCCTGGTGGGGTGCAGGACACCTGTGGTGGGGTGTGGTGGGCTGTGACATCATGGGGCATAGGAGCCTAACCTTCTGTTTCCACACCTGTGGAGTGTGTTTGGGGCTGGGGTCAGGGAAGGGCTGGCTTTGCCTCCTTCCTCCCCAGGGTTGGGCCTGCAGCAGGCACACCCAGAAGCCCCCAGCCTTCCCTGCGAAACTTGTGTCCCTGCCCTGCAGAGTGGGTGCTACTTTCCAGAGCCCAGACTGCAGACACAGGACAGGTAAGGACCCTCTGGGGAGACAAGGGAGGGTTTTCTGGCCCTAGGTGGGTGTCCTTGGATGCTGGGCCATGCATGGCCCAGCTAGAATCCTGTTCTGTCCTTAGGGTGTTGTGACCCCATGGCTGCAACGCACTTCCCGGGACCTGTCCAGGCAGTGGCCTGAGCCGATTGTCATTCTCCCGAGGGCTCTGCGGGGCACAGAGAGTGAGCACAGGGCCCAGCCCCATCGGGTGTCATAAGACCTGAGGGTGGGGTCTGGCACTGTGGGCTCACCTGCTGGTGCTGTGGCCCTTTCTGGCTGCTCAGCTCATTCAATTGTGACAGTTTTGGAGAGTGGACAGAACCATCCCATTTTGCCAATGATTAAACTGAGGCCTGGAGAGGGACATGTGTTACCCGGGGTCTCGGCGTGGGTATGGGAGGAAGAGGAAGTTGACTGGAAAAGCCCAGTCCCCTGACCCCCTACTTGCCCTTGTAGAGAAGGCCTGTCCCCCGGGGAGAGAGGTCCACGTGGTGGATGAAAGCCTTGTCTTCTACTCGGAGTGGGAGCTGGAGGCCTGTGTGCACGGGGCCCTGCTGGCTGAGCATATGGACCAAGTGAATGCAGTTCCCTTCACCTACCAGCAGCTAAACATTTTAAAGCGGAAATTGGACCAGGTAGTTCGTGACTTGGTTTCCCACCTGCTTGCGGTGCCAAAGCCTTTCCCAGCCACCTGGGGAGTGGCTGTGGCCCTCATAGTCAATTTCCCTGGCAGTTCTACCCACAGGGGTACCCTGAGTCCCTGATTCAGCACCTGAGTTACTTCTTCCTTGAGGTCACCCCCGAGGACATCCACAAGTGGAATGTGACATCCCTGGAGACTGTGAAATCTCTGCTTCAAATCAGCAAAGGGGGAAAAATGGATGCTCAGGTGACCATTTATTGTGAGGGGAGCACAGGGGGTGAGGTTGTGCAGGCCTGGGGGAACCACAGGGGGTGAGGTTGTGCAGGCCTAGGGGATATGTCTCTTCCCAAGGCACCTCACCAGGCTCCTCCCATAGGTGGCTGCCCTGATTGCCCGCTATCTGGTGGGAGGAGGCCAGCTGGACAAGGTCACCCTGGACATGCTGGCCAGCTTTCACCCTACCTACATCTGCTCCCTCAGTCCTGAGCAGCTGAGCTTGGTGCAACAAGATGTTGTTTGGTGAGTCCCAGGGGTCAGCTGGTGTGGTGCGTGTGCTGTGCTCCCAGCTCACTTCCTGGCCCCACCCTGCCTCCCCAGGGCGGTCAGGCCTCAGGACCTGGATGGGTGCGGTCCACTGCAGATGGACGTTCTCTATCACAAGGCCCACATCGCTTTCCGGAACATGAGCGGTTCCGCATATTTTGCAAGGATCAAGCCCTTCCTGGGTGAGCCAGGAGGACATGGGGGTGGGGGTTGGGATGCCTGAGGTCCCCTCAGTGCTGCCAGCTTCTGGTCTCCCTGGGCTTCCCCCTGGTGGTGTGACCAGGGGTCAGGGTGCCCTCCACCCCTCCAAGTGTATATCGGCTGAGGTCCTGTGAGTTCTGACCCTTGCTCAAGCATTTGACCACCTCCAGCCTCTCTCCTGACTGGGAGAGTCAGGTGGTCACCAGGCAAACTAGGGCCCAGGAATTCCTCAGGAAAAGGGAATCCCAGTAAAGGAAGTGGGCTTCTCACAGCTTGTGGTCAGAGGGTGAGAGTAGGGGGAGTGTTGTGAAAAGTCTCATGCTGAGGACGCCTCTCTCTGGGCACAGGTGGGGCCTCCGCAGAGGACTTGCGGGTTCTCATTCAGCAGAACATAAGCATGGACATGGCCACATTCAAGAAGCTGAGGAAAGAGGCCTTGCTGGTATGCCACCAGAAGGGTGGGGCGATTGGAGGGTGGGCCCATGGGAAAGGAGGGGCCTCAGAGAAGAGCTTGTCTTTGGGTGGGTAGGGCCATTGAGGGTGGGGGTACTGAGAGGGTGGGGTCTTGGGAAGGGCAACTATTGAGCCAGCTCCAAGGCCTAGAGGTGCTGACGCAGGGTCTGTGGGCTGGGGAAGCATGGGGTGGCTTGGATACAGCAGAGTCTAGCAGCCTCTGGACAGAGGCAGGGAGACCCTGACAGCCGCCTGGGGACTCTGGCAGCCACTGACCATTGCCGAGGTGCAAAAACTTCTGGGTCCAAACCTGGAGGGCCTGAAGGCAGAGGAGGGGAACAGCCCTGTGCGGGACTGGATCTTCAGGCAGCGGCAGGATGACCTGGACAGACTGGGCCTGGGGCTCCATGGTGGCATCCCCAATGGCTATCTGGTCCTAGACCTCAACATTCGAGGTGGGCTGGGGTGGGTGGCTGGCTGGTGGGGCTGAGGCTGAATGATGTGGGGGGTCTGAGTTACTCCCTCTCCGTATAGAGGCCCTCCTGGGGGGCTCCCACCTCCTTGGACCTGGATCTGCATTCACTGTGATCCCAACTCTGCTCCTGGCTTTCATCCTGAGCTGAGAACACTACTCTGGATGCCGAACTGGGCCCTGCTGTGGAGACTCCCACTGGTGGGAGCATGCCTGGATGGTCCTTGCCCCATTCCAGGGGACTGTGGCTCAATAAAAGAGCACCCGTCCTCCCACCAAAGAGGTGACTTGTGGTGCTTTGGGGACAGGGTGGGAGGCCCTGATGGCTATGGTGTTCTGAGGGGTGGAGTGGGGGTTGACAGCTCTGGTGTCCTGGGCTTTGATGGCTGTGGTGTTCTAAGGGGTTAATGCTTGAGGGCTGTAACCCTGCGGACATGACTCCCTGAGTTGCAGCCTTTTCTACTGGTACTTGGAAAGGGGTGGGGCAGGCCAAGGACTCCAAGTGGTGGTAGAGGGTGGGGAAGTGGAGGGGCTTTCCTGATGCTGTTCCTGAGGCAAGGCCAACAAACCCTGGGGGCCCTTGGCGATCGGGGGTGAGAGTCCTGCTCCCGGCTAACGGGGTCTTTGTGCCCCTGCCCAGACCAGAGCAAAGGGCCACATGCAGGAAGGTCACCTTGTCCTTTAATAAAGTCAGCGGAGTAAGTGCCAAGGAGGACCCCTCCCCAGGCCCAGCTTTTTGTCCTGAAGAAGACCAGAGGGGGGGCATGTCCTCCTCAGCTGGCAGGAGTTGGTGACCCAATAGTCACAGCTGTGCCCAGGCCCTCGGTGCAGCTCCAGGTCCTGGGAGCTGGGTGTGGGCAGGATCTGCCCTGCAGGCTCCTAGAATGGCCAGGTTTTCTGTGCCTGGGGCTTATGCCTTGGCCTCGGCATCCAGCTCCACCTGCCAGCACAGCACTGTTGTCAGAGGCCATTACGCAGGTGCCCTGTGAGCAGCCCCAATGGGGCCCCAGGGTGCCGTGATACAGCAGCCACAGGAGGCTGGAGGGCAGGGCCACAGCAAGTGGCAGGTACCCTAGGTAGACTGGTGGGCTGCCTGTAGGTGGAACACGGAGGGAACACCCATCAGTTCTGGCTGTGAGCCACACCCAGCATTGGACAGCCCCTCCCTCTGGGCTCTAGGCTCACACCATCCCTGTGGGTGGGGAAGGCCATGTGTGGCCACTCTTCTGGGCCCCAACAAAGATTCTCAAAGTTTCCCCCTCCCTGGGGTTTGGCTCCTACTTTATGCAGATCAGTGGGTTTTGGGGGAGGTGATTGTGTCCTTTGATAACTCAGTAGATGACACAGGGTGAAGCCAGTGTCACCCAAATGTCACCCGAGAGGCAAATGGAAAAATTGTTGGCCAATGGAATATGAGATTGGGCACAAGTAGCAGTCTGGGGTTCATAGAGGCCCTGGGCGGACAAGGCCAAGCAGAGGCAGGGGCAGGCCTGCCAAGGGGGAGGGCTGGGTGTGGGGCTGTACCTGAGGTGGGGGCGTCATTCCCAGGCCCGCCCAATGTGGTAGCTACATGGGATGTCCAGGGGGTGTTGTTGTGAGTCCCAGTGGTCGAGTGGACTGGGCCAGTGGGGCCGATGGGGCTGTCAGGGTCCTTGTCCAGGCCCAGCTGGCTCAGGGCCGACCTGTTCAGGCTGCGGAGCCAGGAGCTGATGGTTGGGTGGCTGCGTGCCTTCTGCAGGTCCCCGATGTTCTGGCCCAGCAGCGTTGTCACATTGTCGACACTTAGGCTCTTCAAGGGAAGTGAGGGGGCCATGGGGGGAAGACAGAGAGTCATGAAGGGGCCCAGTTTTGGGGCCAAGGGCAGACCCGGCAGGGCAGTGCTTACCCGAGGAGTGAGCACAGGGGTGAGATGTGGCAGAACCAGCCTGGAGAAGTGACCTTGGGCCCACTTTGGGGACCTGTGGCCTAGGGCTCCCCTGGCTTGGGCAGCCTGCCCCACTCCCCCCAGGGCAACAGCCAGGGCCCACCTGTAGCACTCGAGGGTTCAGACTGGCGAAGGTGTGGATGTCCATGGAGATGTTCGCCTGGATCAGGTGCTGCAGCTCCTCTATGGGGGCACCTCCTGAGGGCAGGGAAGTGGTGAGCGGGGGAGGGGGGCTTCTGGAGGAAGGGTGTCTGTCCACAAGGCAGGGTCTCACCCAGGTAGGGCCATATGAAGTGGTAGTAGGCAGCCGTGGTCCTGGCGCTGCCGCTGCCAAAGGCCTCTCGGGCCTTGTAGTAGAGCACGTCCTTCTGGTTCTGAGGGCAGGCGGTGATATCCAGGGCCCCGGCCAGCCTGGGGAGGGGGGAGGCTGATGCGCAGGCTGGGGGCCCCTTGTCCTGTTGGCTGGGCCTGGCCCTCTCTCCCTAAACCACAGCTGCCCTCTTGCCCTCTGTAGTTGGCTGATAGTGTTTCCCCAGAATTGATGTCCACCCAAAACCTCAGAATGGGACCTTATTTGGAAATAGGGTTTTTCCTAATTGTAGCTGTAATCAAAGCAAGATGAGGTCCTACTGAATTAGAGTGGGCCCTGAAATCTAACGACTGGTATCATAAAAGAAGGAAATTTAAACACAGGCATGGGCGGGAGACAGCCACGTGATGATGGAGGCAGTGATGGGGTGATGAGTCCGTAAGTCAAGGAAGGCCAAGGATTGCCGGCAACACTAGAAGATGGAAGAGGCAGGAAGAAACCTTTGCTATAGGTTTCAGGGGGAGCCTGGCCCTGCTGACACCTTAATTCCAGACTTTTGGCCTCTGGACTATGAGAGAATACATCTCTGTTCTCTTCAAATTCAGTTTGAGCCCTGGCTGGTGTGTTCAGTGGTTAGAGCGTTGGCCTGTGCACCGAAGGGTCACTGGTTCAATTCTGGTCAAGGGCACATACTGGGTTGTGGGTCGTGTGCTAGGCAACCGATGGATGTGTCTCTCACATCGATGTTCCTTCTCTCTCTCCCTCCTTTGCCCTCTCTCCCTCCCTTCCACTCTCTCTGAAAATTAATGGAAAAAATATCTTCAGGTAAGAATGAACCAAGATAAATAAATAAAAATTAAAACTTAGTTTGAGGTACTTTCTTTTGGCAGCTGTCAGAAACTAACACCTGTGGTGGCCTGGCCCAGACCCCTCCTGAGCCTGTCTCCCCCTTGAACTCTCGCTGGTGAGGAGATGCGGTGGGGGTGTCGCTGGTCAGGCTCACCGGAACTCCAAGGGCCTGATGGCCTGGATCTGCTGGGGGCTCATCCAGCAGAGTCGGGAGCCCTCAATAGCCACAAGCAGGGTGCTGGTGATGTTGCCTTTGTGGTCCAGGAAATTCTGCAGGATGGCCTGGGGGCAGGGCCGGGGTTGATGGGGCTGGGATTGCTGGCGGCAGGGTCCGGTGGGCACTCCCATCCCCCATCCCTACCACCCTGCCCACCCCTACTGCCCTCACCTCCGTCTGGTTCTCCAGGGCCACATCTGAGGCCAGCAGGGCCACGACCGTGTCACTAGATGTGATGTTCCACTGGCTGATCTCCATGGGAGAGTAGAGGTAGACCAGTGAGGTGATGAGCCGAAGCTGCTCTTCTGGGACGCCACTCGGGTAGATCTGAGGCAGGCAAGAGAGGATCAGGCCCCACCCCCAGTGCCCACCACCCATCTGCCTCCACCCAGAGTTCCTCGCACTCGAGCCAACTTGGTCTTGATGACACGCTGGCACTCAGCAGGTAGCGGGTGCTGCAGCAGGGGGTCCAGGTTGGCCCTGAGCACTCGGCTGCCCAGGCAAGATTCGAGCTGTGAGCAGTCGTAGTGCACCAGGAAAAGGTCATCCTGCAGTGTAGCCACCGTGATGTTGCCTTGGATGCAGGGTCGCCCTGTGGCTGGGGGTGGGGTGGGGTTGATGACCGGGCTGCTCAGTTATGGCCTGAGCCCCCACTGCTGCTGACTTTGGGCTCCACCTCACCCCTAACCCTCACCCACCCTTGACTCTCTCCCCAAGCTTGACCCCTAGCCAAGAACTTGACTCAGAGTAGACTGAGTCAAGCCTGACCTTGACCTTGACTCCCAGCCCAGCCCTGGCCCAGAAGTCCAGCCTCACTGCCTCTGACCTGCTCATACTGGACACAGATCCCTGGGCCTAGCTTAGGAGGTACAGTGGCAGGTGCCACCATGTATTGGGAGCCCCCACCCGGGTATTGGGAGTCCAGAGCAGTGTCCCCAGGCCACAGTGGCCACACTGACCTGTGCCCCGCTTGGGTCGTGAGAACATTGACTTGGTCTTGGCCTTGGCCTCAAGGAAGCTGGTGACAAAGCGCCTGGTGTGACGCTGGCTGAGCTGCCCTGTCCGGCACGCGGCCACCATGCTGCCAAAGAAGTCCAGGCCCACGGCCTGGCAGGGGGTGCTGAAGACTCTCCACCCTGGGGCCACCTGGTTCCTTCTCCCACCCCACAGATAGAAACCCTGTGAAGGGAGTAACTGGGGACACCACTCAGGCATTGGGGTGGCTGAATGGTCAACTCTCAGGCCTGAACAGGCTGGTGGAGGGTGGGCTGGACATCCCTCCCTGTGTCTAGGGCCAGTTCAATTCCTACTACCCTGCCCCAGGGCACTATCCTACCTCCTGCACCTGCATCCACAGGCTGGAGCTGATGTAGGTGGCCAGTGGTCCCAGAGCCTGCAACCCCTCCAGGTTCCAGGAGATAGGGGGCCTGGTGTGTGGGAAAGGGGTGCTGTGCCTGGGCCCGGAGCAGCACCCCAGCCCCTGGAGGCTGCCTGCCTGTCCCTGAGTGCACAGTTCCCAGGGCCTGCCCTGCTGGGGATGCCTTGCCTACCCAGAAGAGACTCTCCCACCCAGGCTTCAGGGCAGGGGGATTGAGGGGCCCAGTGGGTGTTGGCAGCACCCCCAAACCTGTGTGCCCCAAAGGTTGTAAGGTCAGAGTAGGGCTGTGAGCTATGTCAGAAGTGGGAGGTCAGCAGGGCTATGGAATTCAGCCCAAACCCCAGGCTGCCTCCTGTCTCATCTCCAGGAGGGGAGGGCTTGGCCAAGGGGATGGGGCCCCCACCCACCCAAGCATGGTCCTCCCACTGGCCAGTAGCATATTGAGAGCAGTCTGCTGGGCAGGGGTCAGCGGGGGGCAGCGCTGCAGGTTCTGCAGCACATGTGGGTCCGAGGCCACGATGCTGGATGCATCCATGTCGCACAACAGGACCCCAAGGAGCAGCAGATCTGAGGCACTGAGACGTGTGTGGGGCACTCCCTGCAGGACAGCGGGTCAGCGAAAGCCTGGCCCCATGGCCCTCCCACCCTTCCTGTCCCGCCCCAGGGCCTACCAGGCAAGCCAAGGCTGAGTGCTGCAGGGCGGCCCTCTGGTCAGGCAGGTTGGCCAGCAGCTCAGTGTCCCCCTGGGCGGCACGGCGGGTGAAGGCCCGGCAGTTGGCTTCCCTTACCTGCCCCAGGCTGCAAGCAGGTGGCGGGCTGTTGGAAGGGCGGGGCCAGCCAGGGGTCCTCTGAGGTGGCCCAGGTGCTCCTGGGGAGCTGGGGTCCCCAGGACCCAGAGGAGGCATGCTTAGTCTGCTGGACGTTTGAGGGGGTTGAGGGGGGACACTCACTTGTAGAAGAGCAATAGGTCAGGCGGATGGAGTGAAAAGTCACTCTGGAGGCCATGCAGGGCAGCCAGGTTGGCCAGGCAGCTGAGCTGGGCAGGGTGAATGGTGCATCATTCCCTCACTCAGCCCCTTCCCCTCTGCCATGTCACCCTCCCCCTCAGTGGGGCCTTTGGGCCCAAGTCCCCTACACCTGCCCCCATATCTACCCAGTTCCCTCCTCCCACCTGCCTGCTCTGTGTCACCTGGACTTGATGTCTTTCTCTGTCTGCCTCACCCTCCACATCAGAATGGCCTCAGGATGGGCCAAACCCAGCCTGAACATTACTGTCCCCCCACCCCCACCCCGGGCCGGCACTCAGGCCTCTGCCTATCCCCCAGTCCCATTGCACCATGGAGGCTCATCCCAATGCCACCCTTGCCCAGACTGCTTGTCCAGCTTGGCCTACTTTGGGGTCGTTACAAATTTATTGCTAGTTTTTTTTTCTTCTTTTATTTTTGTGTGTGTTTCTTCCTTTTATTACTAGATTTATACTAACTTTATAATGATACAGAATGATAGATGTCCTTCCTTCC